GGTTCAATTCCTACCAGAGGACCTTGTGCTGCATTTTTCGCAATCGTTCCTGGTCAGGTCTTAAAATGTATATATATATATATACTCACTTGGATTACAAACCCTAAGAACAGCATTCTAATATTAATTCCACCAAGTGAAGTGGAAGAATCCAAATTATTGAAGTCCACCTTATCACAACCCGCACACCCGATTACCTAAATATACATGAACTTACGGTTAAAGCTCAACAGCTGGCCTCTGTAGCTCACTTGGTTAGAGCGCTGCACCGGAATCGCAGGGCCGTAGGTTCAATTCCTACCAGAGGACCTTGTGCTGCATTTTTCGCAGTTGTTCCTGGTTAGGTCTTAAAATGTATATATTCTCACTTGGATTACAAACCCTAACATTCTAATATTAATTCCACCAAGTGAAGTGCAAGAATCCAAATTATTGAAGTCCACCTTTTCACAACCCGGACACCCGATTACCTAAATATACATGAACTTACGGTTAAAGCTCAACAACTGGCCTCTGTAGCTCAGTTGGTTAGAGCGCTGCACCGGAATCGCAGGGCCGTAGGTTCAATTCCTACCAGAGGACCTTGTGCTGCATTTTTCGCAGTCGTTCCTGGTTAGGTCATAAAATGTATATATTCTCACTTGGATTACAAACCCTAACATTCTAACCCTAACATTCTAACATTTGAAATTAAGGATTTGGAGGTTTTGCGATCACTGATAACTTGATAATAATATAAAACAAAACACTTCTATCTGCAACTTTTACAATCACTGATAAATTGATAATAATTTAAACCAGTCAAGTTGTAGTTTAAATAGAGAATAAAACATGGGTGCACGAAATACCAGATTTATTTCGAGTGTTGAACATGAGTGTGCAGCGAACAAGTGAGCGCGGCGAACGAGTGAGATGTCATGTTCAACACGAAAAATAAATCTGGTATTTCCAACCACCCATGTATTTTTCTGTTTATTATATAAAGGACAGTGTTTGAAAAGCGATAATTTTTACAGAAAAGCGATAATTGAAAAGGCGATAATTTTCACATGTGAGATTATCATGAATAATTTCACATGTGAGATTATCATTTTTATCAGGCTCGAAATCTCTTTAAAATACTCATTAATAATTCATAAACCTTGTGGCAAATCATGTCAGCCATAATATGTCACCTGGAGTGACTTTATATCTGATAAAACAGATGTGGCATTGTATAATTGTTCATCTTAATTAGCATGATTATACTACAACCCTCGAAATTCGCCTCGGCACTCGGCAACTGCCGACGAAATTGCCGAGGCAAGTTACGATTTTTCATAGTTTGCCTCGGCAAAAAAATGCTGAGGCAATTTCACCCGTTATAACCTTGAATAACAAACTACAGCGCCGGTTCCTTTTCCCCCCTAAAATTTACAAACTATAGTGTTCGTTTTTTGTATCACTTCTTTGTTGGAATTGTTGTCATCGAAGTCGGGTGGACAACAGAAGATTTCATCCATAGCTATACTTTACAAAATATTTAAATTTGAGCTTTTCAGCGTCGGCTTCGGTTGAAATAGAGAACAATCTTGATGGTTTAAAGAAGGCACGTCGAGAAACATTGTTTTATCTTTTAGATTGTCACGCGATTAACGTCAAGTTTATTCTTTCATACAATTTGTTGTTAAAAACATTTTGAATCAGGAATTTGTAAAATAACAACAAATTGTCAAAGGTCAGAATCTACGCTCGTTATAATATTTGTTAAAATAATGTCCGTATATGTATTTTACTTTAATTACAACTGCCGACGTGAATGCCGAAGGGTGCCGAAGTAACTGCCGAAGGAATTTAAGGTGATTTCATTGCGTGCCTCGGCAAAAAAATATTGCCGAGGCATTGCCGAGGCAAACTCGAAAATTATCGAAAGACTTCGGCAATTATTTGCCGAGGCAAAAATAGTTGAATTTCGAGGGTTGTACTATGGTTCATCCTAATTAGTGTTCTTTTGTAGTCGTATTTTGAGCTATTCAAAACACTCGTTGTCGTGTTTTATCAGATATATAACGCTCGGCTGCGCCTCGCGTTATATATCTGATAAAAGACTCCCACTCGTGTTTTAAATAGTACATAAAACACTATACTTTATATAATAAAAATTCATAAATTTGAACCACGCTAGACCATGACAACAGCAAAATGCTCTATAGTATGATGCACAAAATTTTGGGAGATGAAATACACGAACAATAAATCAGAGAGTGTTTGCGTGAAACTCACTGGTGGGGGGGGGGGGGGTGCAACACCCCTGATAATTGCTCATGAGGAATTTCAGGTAGATTTCCAGTGCACTTTTAGGTAAATTTAAGTAGATTTGCAGAAGATTTTCAGGGGAATTCAGGTAATTCTCAGGACATGAGAAAGTGAATTTGGAAAACAACTGTATTTTCGGAAAAATTATTATATGTCCTGAAAATTTTTTGTACATCTGGAAACATTTTGGTAACCCCCCCCCCTCTATCTAACCTCACACACCCCCTGAGACGCAGTGCTAGCAACGGCACTGAGTATACATCTTTTGAAAACAGGCGAGGGGTTATTGCATGCATGTATTTCTAGTTTAAAATTATAGTGCAAACATAAAACTAGAATATATTTTACTTATCTCAAGATGTCTTTTAAATGTTTTCGTTTTATTTCCAACGTTAATTTCGTTTTAAATACGAACCAAAGACCATTTGTATTTTCGAAACAACAATGAAAATGGCGGGAAATTTTCGAACGTCGTATGTCACTCGCAGGGGTGAAATACGGAAAAGACGCGCACCTGGTTCCGGATTTAGTGACGTATGAGTTCTACGAGTGTTTTAGTTTCCAGTAAAACACCATTGACCATATAATAAAAACTCTTCTTTTTGAGCATAATCTCTTCTTGTTTTTAAAGCGATTTTTTCATTCTTTTTTGAATGAATTAACCTTTCTCACGCCGCCATTTCTGGGTGGCATTTCAGCCGAAGTCTGCGTGTAAGTCCACATAACAGCGACTTTTTATAATTTTTTGGACAAATGATGGTAAATTTGCTTTGTATATGGTTAGTTTATTTTGAAAAATTGCTTTTCACATTGTTTTAATTGTCTGCATTGATTAACGAGAATTAGATGCCACCCATAAATGGCGGGTATTCGTCATCGTGAGAAAGGCTAATTGCATGCTTTCCATGGAGGATTGTATATACGCATGTCAACGTTACTTAATATTGAAATTTTCCTTCCGTTTATATGACTTTCTTAAAAACTATGAATTTATATGGTTCAGTATAACAGTATAAATATAAGGTATTTCTCCAAAGGAAATGACGAACATATAAAAAATGGTGAGTTAACTACAGTCTGTACTACAATAGCATTTGGGACTTCAATGGAAAGTATCTGTAAAACAAAATGTTCACGGGAAGTGCTTTTGTATTGTATATTGCTCGCTCATTATATTCACCAGTTCGCTTTGTGAAAACAAATTGTCGTGTGCAAAAATACCACATGTCGCATTTCTCATGAAGTGAAGAATTGTTTTTTTCTACATCCACCCTGACGTTTCTGAGTCATTTCCCGAACCTTTCACTACAGAACGATGTGTTTTCATATTTTGCAGGTAGTATGTATCCATTTTGTCGTTAATTGTGAAACGATCTTCTAGGAAATTTCTTTTTGATTGCAGGTTATTTTCAATGGACGCAAAGGAAAACAGACACGATATAATTTGAAGGATCGTAGAAATAGCTTTGAGTTGGATTTTGATCTCTTTTCCTCTGATGGTGATAAATTTAATGGCATTCCGGTAAGAATTACATGTCCTATTTTAATTTACACATATTTGAAAATATTTGGAAACGATAACCGTTCGGGGCTCGTAGCTCCTATATTTATATGGGCCGTTTTTTACATATATCACACAGTTACTATAACTATAATTACATAAATGCTATGTACAAACAATATAACAAAACATAATAGTATTAAAAAAAACCCAAATATATTAATATATTTGCATGCTTTAAATAACATTAAAAACTCATTAATAATTCATAAGCGTGTCGTATGTTTATGTGTGATAGAGATTTCCCTTGGATTTACATAAACTTTAACTTTAACACAACGTATTTTTTGAGAATTGCTTCGCCAATAAACTTACTAGTTCCATCATTTTTGAAGCAATTTAAAACATTCGCATGCAGTGTGTGTTTTATCAGACGTAAAGATACTTGGCTTCGCCTCGTATCTTTACATCTGATCAAACACTGTGTGCTGCTAATTATTAACCATATTTACAAAGATAATGTTAAATCATGCAGGTGCCGTAAAGAATGCATTTAAATTTCTTAAAGATGATGTCCACTCCTGTGCACATGCGCGAACTTTGTTTACGTTTTGAACTGCTATATTTGTAAAATATGATATACTAACTGAATATCTGACACTTTTCTGGTTCGCTATACTTGTAAATGAATATAAACTGTACGTTTCAATTCAATTAAAAAAAATTCGAAAGATGCAAAATTTGGGCAATGTTTATATCTGGGGGTCACCCTTTGTTATAAGCAGAACGGAGTGGACATCATCTTGAAGGGTAATGCATTTTTCTTCGGCTGTATGCTCTTCTTCATAAAGTTCGTTTCTAGCTTTCCAGATACATAATTGCTGTTACGTATCAATATAGTGTAGTAATTGTGTATATACATGCAGTATCTAGCAAGAAGTTATATTAATAAAGTTTTTATTTTTTATTATTATCATGTTATCGTATTATCGTATTTTATTAACACTGGTTCTTACTTCTTTTTCTAGAATTACGCGGAGTCATTCGAAATGAACGAGAGACGCGACATTTATATGTAATCAAAAAACGAGAAGCCCATATTGCCTAAGTAAAACTAGAAACTGCACCAAATGTAGAAACAAGCTCAGATGTCTGAAGATTTGTAATCCTGGCACAACATGTATGGATTACAAATCATCTGACATATTTGTTGAAGTTATCCAGGTTAAAAAGATAACTTTTATCGAGCATTCAACATGGTTCTTCGAAACATATATATTCACAGCAATTCGCACAAGTACGAATATACTTATTTACTTCAGTATTACCATATAAAGGGCATGAAATATTATGCGTGCAATACCCCACCTCCAAATCATTACTTTCTTGCATATATAAGCACAGATATGGGAGGTGGTGGAAGCCTGATAGGTCAAAATACTTTCGCCAGTCACGTGCACACACATAAAAACACAGATGTTTCACCCGCGTTAGCGTCAGCACGATAATTCAGAAACTATCCGAGTAAAAAACTATCGATATTTTATGGCTATACAAAACACTAACCGGACTGACTTGATCAAAATAAAGTGAAAACAACATAATTGGTTATGACTAATATTGCCAAAACAATAGAGATGCAGAATCTTCCGATAATGCATGAGTTAATGCCACTGTTGTTACTGTTAATGAAACTCAGTACCATGCAACATGTTTGAAAATTAAAGATGCAAAATCTTGATTAATTTTGTATCACTTTAATTAAACTTGGTCAAAGAATATTTAAAACTCTGTTACTATAAGTACTCAGGTTGATCAATTCATATGAATTCAAATTTCGTTTTACTTCCTGTGCATTTCCTATTGGTCAATCAGTTCTGAAACAAAATCTAATTGGCTCATCTAAAAGTAACAGGAAGTTAATCAATTTTCTATCAAATGAATTGATCAACTTGAGGAAATGAATTCATGCATTATTTTATCAACACTTCCATTGCATCGAAAGTAAGTGATCACCGACTCAGGACAGAAATTTCATTCCAAATACTTGGTAACTGCATGGTTTCGATATGCTGAGTATCATGTACTGTTATTGAAAGACGTGTACTGATGCAGTGAGTACTAAGTACTGTCAATGAACAAAATGGGAATTTGGCCCCATAACCCTGTGGGATGCCCTAATTTTACCAAAATGATGATCGAAAGCATATCTCCTTTCATCTATAGTCTCGGCACTGTAGTACAATTAAATTATAGATTTTATATCAATGCCTTGAGTTGGCATCACAATTGAAGTACCAATAAGTGACAGATTCTATGTCAATGCCTTGAGTTGACTCTGCAATTGCAGTGACAATAAGTTATAGATTACATGTCAATGCCTTGAGTTGGCTCTGCAAATGCAGTGACAATAAGTTATAGATTACATGTCAATGCCTTGAGTTGGCTCTGCAATTGCAGTGACAATAAGTTATAGATTACATGTCAATGCCTTGAGTTGGCTCTGCAATTGCAGTGACAACTAGAGGGCACTCAGAGACTGCATACCTCCGCCCGTTACTCGGAAGTAAAAGGCAACCTTGGAATTTCCTAAGAAATCCACTTTACAATTCTTAAGCATAAAAGATTTCAGGCCCCCGCGAATTGAAATCGAATTGCTAATAGAACATATTACTGTTGTTGTACTGTACAGTACTTGTAAAATAAAAACTTTTTAAGTGTCATTAAATAAATGCACAAATTTTGCTTTATGCACTCGCGCGTGCAGTAATTTTCACAGTTGTGCTATTTTAAATTCCCAGGCAGCTAAAATCTTTTGTCTTTAAAACAATGTCGATTTCTTGGGAAATTCCGAGGTTGCGTTCTTTTTATACACCCTGTATTGAAGTAATCTAATGTTGTTAGAATTTGAATGGACTGGCACTTTGCTGAACGCAATAATGCGTAACTCCGTAAGCCTTGTTTTAGACATTGAATTTCGGTCGCGTGAAATGCAACTAAGACAATAGATAATGAAGGCCGAAGCTTAATGAGGTTTATCATCTCATTACTGTCTTAGCACTGAGTGCATAAATTATACACGTCCTAATTACGCATTCAGTAATATATTTTGTTAATTGACCGGGAAAAGCAAGACAAAATTTTGTTCATTCCTCGTTCAATTTTTAACCAAATTCAACCAAATTTTAATCAGTTCTTCCTTAGCCGATGGGAAATGCATTCAAAAAATTTCGTACGGATATGTTTGGTATTTCTTGAGTTATCGTGCTCACAGACAAACACACACACATACACACACACACACATACACACACACACACATACACACACACACACATACACACACACATACACACACACACACACACACACACACATACAAACCCAGATGATTACATAACCTCCTGGCGGAGGTAATAAGTTATAGATTACATGTAAATGCCTTGAGTTGGATCTGCAATTGCAGTGACAATAAGTTATAGATTATATGTCAATGCCTTGAGTTGGCTCTGCAATTGCAGTGACAATAAGTTATAGATTATATGTCAATGCCTTGAGTTGGCGCTGCAATTGCAGTGACAATAAGTTATAGATTACATGTTAATGCCTTGAGTTGGCTCTGCAACTGCAGTGCCAATAAGTGATAGATTCTATGTTAATGCTTTGAGTTGGCGCTGCATTTGCAGTGCCATTAAGTTATATATTTATATCAATGCTTTGGGTGACTGTAAACTTACTATTTATTTTGTATCAGTGCATATAAAATGTCAGTGTGGTGCTAAAATGACCAATTCATATTGAATCTTGCAACACTTCATTTTTTGTGGCGAATTATTGTCTAAATTTGCCTTTTTAGCATTGGCATAAGGAATTTTTTGCATTTGCTGCAAATATTTAGAATTTTGATCAAATTTTGCATGAATTTGCCTAAATAGAATATTTCACTTTGCTCTGGAACGTGTTTATTGTGTTTTCACCAAAATGAAACAACTAACGTGTGCAATTCTGATCCGCAAATGTCTTTTGCACATTTCTTTACATATCTTTCTTTGAGAACATGCATTGATAAAGGATTTTTTTTCAAGATCCAGAAATGATTTTTTTTTTAATTTCGGATAATGAAATGTAAAATGAATTAAAGAAATAAATTATCACTTAAAATACGAGGGTCACCGATCTTTTTAGAGTATTGTGGCATTAAAACGTGATATGCAAGTAAATAAATATACTACAGACACAGTGAACCCTAGCTACACTTTTGTATGCTTTTTTGAAAACATTGATTTTAACGTATTCTTTGCACGAGTGTAAGCAAAGATGTTTAAGTAACATAAAATTGTCATAAAATGATTTTTTTAAACCCTTTAAGCGGCAGTGTAGCAGATCTGCTACAAATAGAAAAGTGCGCGAATTTTTCGCAGTCTGGGTCTAGTTTCTTCTTTTACCCACAATGCAATACAGCCCACGTTGTTGACATTGTTGTAATGGCGAAAATTTTTACCAAAGTGGCTTTTAGACCGAGAAAATGATGTCCAAATCACAGTGATTTCGGTAAGTTTTAAAGCTCTAAGTTCGTGACAATGTTCTATCTTTGTAAAGCGCTCTAGGGTATAAGTTTTATTATATTATAATTTGACATAAGGCAGTCTTTTCATATCGTATTTGTGTGTTTGTATAAATTCGTTTGTATGTATTGAATAATTTCATAAAGGCATTTGTAGCATATCTGCTACATTGCCGCGAAATGGTCACTGAAGCTCAGATTACATGAACATTATATTTTTAATAAAAGACACAACATGTGCTGTATTTTACTGCAATTTCCTTTGAATATAGTTACAACAAGTAAATATTTCTTTTGTCTTCAGTATTGGGCCCCTTGGCTGCAGGTTAAACCAGTTGAACATTCTATTTTACACTGTTTTATAGTGTTTATGTATATATGCCCATACTGTGTATATACTATGTATTAGTAAAACTATTGTAAGCTTGATTTTATCCCTTTTCATCATGTTCATGAGCTTCAGTGCAACAGTGGTCAGATCCATATTAAGTTCTCACCTCTGAATATAGTGGCCTTGTTTCTCGGCTGCGAACCCTATGACTTTCTCATGTGAAAATAAACAAGCAAACGCTCTGCCGGAAGTTGTAGGTTTCATCCCGGTAATAGGATTCGTCATGTTTCCTCAAACATGAAAAGTTGACACTGAAGCACTATTACAATTCATATTACAAATATATAGAGCTATAGTCTAGTAGGGAGTGAGCTGAATATTTATTCCGCCTTCAAGGATGTTCATTGCTACCAAACAAGGACAGCAATAAAGCGGTATGTGCCACCATGGACTTCAAGTCTGATACAGAGTTGGGAATAATTGTGATAAAATGGTTGGACAACAACATTGTCCACATCGCCTCCAATTATATCGGTGTGGAACCATTGGGTTCAGTTCAACGGTGGTCCCCAAAAGGAAGAGCATCCAGTGCCCACAGTTGATCTTGCACTGTTGATAAGGCTGACATGCTCATCGTACAGAATCAATTTCAACACCAGAAGGTGGTGGCAAAGGTCAATGCCGGGCTCCTCTACTGCAGGCATTGTGATCAGTTGAGAATTCGAAAGAAATAAAGCTTGTCGTTCCTAGACTTTGTTTTGAAAATTTCCGAGAGCTTGATCAGTGCCAACAAAGTTGTTCCCATGGAAACAACCAGTGGTAAGCCAAGCAGACCAAGCAAATGAAAATTGTCTGAGGCAGCTGGTCCATCAGTAAAGGTTGGTTGCAAACCCACCACACCTTTACCATCAAATGATACACGGTATGACCAACTTGGACGTTGGCCCAACCCCGTGAATGGTAACCACCATCAATGTCGCCATTGTAAAGATGGGTTTTCCAAAATATTTTGCGGCAAATGTAAGATTTGTCTCTGCTTAGAGAGGGAGAAAACTGTTTTCTGGACAACCATAATAAATAACTTTCATTTTGAACTAGAACTTTTCTATATCTAATGTTGCGAATATATTATAATACTGTATATACTATATATATACTTACAAATATATATATTTATATATATACTATATATATTATATATATTATATATACTATATACACTATATATGTTATATATATTATATATACTATATATACTATCTATACGATATATATGATATATACTATATATACGATATACACTATATATACTATATATACTATATATATATATATTATATATATACTATACCGATATATAACATGCTGTATTGTATATAATTCAAGGAAAATGCATTTACATCTGTATGGTATCACAAAACCAACAAAAATCTGTTGGTTCTTCAATAAAATATATTTTCTAGTTATTGTATCTTTTTTACCCTTAAGCAGCAATGTAGCATATCTGCAACAAATTATTTCCCCCCCTGAAATTCAAAGGGGATTTTTTTTTCTTTTTAATTGACTTTCTAGGCTCATTTGTAGGTTAATTTTGCAAGAAAATATTTTTTTTATTTGAAATTCAATAATTGCCAATTGAAATTAATTGAAATTCAGTAGATGCCGCTATAAGATGCGCACAGTAAAAGTGCGCAATGCAAAATTGCGGAATTACCTTAAAACGAAGCTTTTGTTATAGCGGAGCAGTATTGTGGAATACCCTTCCCCAACCTCGTTCCCAGGGCTTCAGTGTGAGAACGAGGCAAGACACGAGGAAGCCCTGGTCCGGGCCGGTCACGTGACGACAAAATTTGGCAGTATTTGACAGCTACTCGTCAAGGAGTGGCGAGATATTCTTTAATGAAATATACAAGTCTTCGAAACAAATAAATAGTCAAAAGACTTCTCAATCGATATTATTTATGTGTAGAGCGAAGTTTGGCACGAATCAGCTAAAATCTATGAAGATCCCGTCTATGTTTTCTAAGATATACCGATATTTCTGGAGATTTTCAACTACAGGCAAAGCTGCATCCAAGCTGCATCTAGACGTCTCCATGCAAGTGGTGATTCACACGAAATTTCCTTTCTCTCGTCTTGAACAATATGGCTATTGCTATAATTAATATTTAGTTTAAATATGCTCTTATAGATCTGACTTAGTTCAATATAAATAAACACAAATATAAAACCTCGCGTAACCTGTTTACGCTGTACAGGAATATACGGATTCGCTTGTTTCGCCGGACACCAACACTTGCCGTTCAGGAGCAATGCTTGCCTACAAATTTTATCCCCTTCACAATCTTTGTTTTATTTTATCGTATAGTCGCAATTTTCAAGTATTCGGGGGTATTCTGAAACTGAAAAACTGGGTGGCGTGCGAATCTTGTAGAGACTACATCGGCCTAGGCGTAGAGCTATTAAGTAAACAGGGCCTAAATTAATTTAGTAGCTTCATTTAATTGTTTGTCTTGCTTTTATTTGTCAGTACAGAATATTGTAAATCAAAATATTACTACAATGCAATACGCGTAGTATTTCATCAGACATCTGCACTAATAAATACTGTACAAGGAAAACTACAGCTTAAATAATAGTAGACGTTTCTTGTTTTGTCAGGAAACATCACAGCTCACTTCGACACGGCTTTTCAGTTTTGTAACCGGCCAAGGCGAAAGTAAATCATGCAGTCGGGAAAACGCACTGATCTGAAAGAAAACGTCTTACTTTGAAAGATTATTTTGCAAAACATACTCGTACACACAAGAATCATAAAAATACCAATGTTGAATTGTTATTCTCAACTGTCAAGTTCAGCTATTTTTAGACAATATGGTGTTCCCTGGACGAATGTCTATTTACGAATGTCTATGGGCTACGCTGGCCAAAACAAATCACCCAGACTGAGTTGTGTAATAGCAGCACATTTTCAAATAAAGTAAATCAACATCATACTTTTGCAAACAGTTTCGAAATGTAACTGACAAAAACAATCACAGACTGATATCTTTTAATGTTGAAATTGATTGGGAAATGTCATTTTATTAGAAGATTGCATGTAAAATTTAACTGATGGACTTGCATGACATGCTTGATTGAACAGTCACACTACACGCATATTTTACATCTTGTAAATGTTCTACATTGAACAGAATGCAGAATTGACCGGCCCAGACCAGGGCTTCCTCGTATCTCGCCTCGTCCTCACACTGAAGCCCTGGGAACGAGGTTGACCCTCCCCAGAAACATAGGAAAGCTTAAATCGTTCTCCCAGTTCAAGAAAGCAGTAAATGAGTATTTACAAACTTAAGCCGACTCCCACACGCAGGGGCGAAACTAGCCCCTTTTAACGGGGGGGGGGGGTCTTCTAGAATTGGCCTGCGAAAGCCGATGATGCAATGCAGCGAAAAAATTTTCTGGCCACTATTTCCCCCAAAAATGTTGGCGAGCGGGGCGAGGTCGAAAAAATTTGTCCGGACATTTAAAAAAGGGATGAAAAATTTTCCGGACATAAACTAATTAAATTAAGGGTCAAAAATTCTTTTCGGACAAACTGCTGTTAAAACATGCATGAAATCCTTATTTTTTTACCAATATCTGTAAAATTTAGGTCTTTAAATTCTATTCAATTTCCTCTGGAAGCCCTGGAAGCTACTTAATAACTCTACATCCTATCATTTAAAATCTTTCATTGCCCTGTCAATCCAGATGATTTGCCCTGCCAATCCAGATGATTTGTATTTTGGGGGGTGTCACCCCCTCCCCCACACAACCCTCTCAAGTTTCGTCCCTGCCCACACGGCAATCTTGTAAACCAGTATCTAGATTAATTTGCTATTTTAATATTTATGATATTTGTCTGTGATAGACCTTATCGTTTATTCACTTTTCGCCCAATGGCCTCGTTTTCGTGCCAAATGCTTACTCGTGTTATGTGCTTAATAGGGTTGAAAATTATTTTGTTGTTGAGCCGATGAACAGCAAGAAACGAATTCGTGCAGGAAGACATGGGAATATAATCTTTATCTGCCCCTGACATGCTAAAATAAGTTAACATGGAAACGAGGCCATTGAGTAAAAAAGAATAATCGTTAAGGTCTATTACTAAGAATGTATCGTGTTTAAATTGTATTGTGTTGTATTGTAAGAGCTTGTTTCAAACTCGTGGCACCTGGAGCTGATTGTATAAAAAAGTGATTGATTAAAGCTTTAATAATAATCCACCTTAAGTGAAAAATACTGTGGACTTACAAATTCATAAACATTATAAAACCATTTATATTACAGTAAAAATTTGTATTTTTAAAAAGATTCAGTTGCCAAAGGCACAAACTACGATTATGTCCTTCAGTTCAGATAATAATGCAACCTACATTCAGCTTCAAATTACAGAACCGTCTATTATAGTAGTAATTTAAAGTTTATTATTAAAAAGTTTAACTGCACGAGGCATAAACGATGATTTATGTCTTTCGGTTCTGGAAATAATGCGACCTACATTAGAACATCTTTGTTTAGTTGTAGTGGAATAGTCATGCTTCTGTGCGATAGGGACAAGGTGGTGACATGTATGGTTTACGTCCTGAGTAATTGCCTCCATTTCTCGAAGAGTTAGCTTATCTCTTCTCTCACTAAGCGAGGGAAGTGTATCGACCGGTAAACCAATAATACGTAAGCTTCTCCTTTGAATACGCTCAAGGTCGTTCAGTAAATAGTGAGGTAGGCCAACCCAAAGTGGTGCGGCATATTCAAGCAGTGGACGAATTTTGGTGCAGTAAGTCGCCAATCCTTCTTCAGTAGGAAGGTGAGCCTCCCTGCGCTGCCTTAGATGACACAGTCTCCTGTTTCCCTTACGGGTAATTTCTTTGATGTGAGAATTCCATTTCATGTTACTTTGACAGCTAACACCAAGTAACTTGTATGAATTAACTCTTTCGATCATAACATCCCCGATATAAAAATTGGAAGGCTGTGGGATAGATTTTCCAAAGCAAATCCACATATCTTTCGTTTTCTTTTGCGTTCAACTTCATTCTATTAACGTTTGACCAGTTCTGAACGGAGTCTAAGGCTGTGTGATGGATATCAGAGCCGATGTAGTAGAGCGGCCACTAGTAAAACCATGTTGACTGGGACGTAGTATGATGTCATTTTGATTGAGTTGTAGTTGTACTCTCTCTAGGATTTTTCCCAATCGGCAAAACAGAGATTTGTCTAAAATCGTTACTAACGTCAGTTGGTGGATATGCTTTAGGCACAGGTGTGACCAGGCCATGTTTGTAATGACTTGTATACTTACACTGTTTAATGCTAGCCGTAATGATGTCATGAACAATCGGCGCTATAACACTAGAGAATCGTTTAAGTAACCGTACTGGAAAACCATCGGCTCCCGTTGCTTTCGAGTGGTTAAGGTGATTTAGGACGCTCTTAATCTGGCGAATATTAGGTAGAGGGGGAGGATAGTTTTTGAGAAGTGACTCAACTTCATCCAGTTGGGGAATACTTGTTGTAATTAGGTCTTTCCATGGTTCAGTAAAGGATATTTGACATTTTTCTGCTAAAGCGGCCTCGCTACACGTGGAGTTTACTGTTAGGCCTTCATGCTGACTACTTACTCCGGACAGATTATAAATTGCTTTGAAGCATTTCGCAGAGTCAGATGTGCGGAATGTTTTAGCTTTATTTTCATAGTAACTTGATTTGGTTTTTCTAATCATATCTTCTACTTGTACACATAGCGGATTATACTGGGACATGTTGCCACGAGTAAAAGCCCGTTGTCTAAGCTTAATCTTTGCTTTAATGTTCGGAGTCATCCATCCCTTGTAGAATCCGACATATTTATAACCTATTTTATACCTATTTTTTCTCTATTTAGCCCTATTTTTTCCGTCTTTTTTCCAAAATATGACTATTTTATTACTATTTATCAAATTTCATAAAATAGTATATGACTATTTACATCCTATTTAAAATATAGGTTATTTATATTTTTCAAAAAAATAGCTTTGAAATAGATATTCAAATCCTATTTGAAAGAGTAATTGACGGAATCTCACTATAAAATAGCTTTTAAATAGCTATTTAATTCCTATTGATGACAAACGAGTCAGTTAAAATAGTTTTAAATAGCTATTTTTAAACTATTTTTGCTTATCTTCTTTGGAGCCATTCTTAACATAGTTATTAAATAGCAAAATAAATAGATCTTAAATAGCTATTTAATTCCTATTCATAGAAAGTTGTGCCGAACTTTGTTCAAAATAGCTATAAAATAGCTATTTTTAAACTATGTTTGCTTTTATTTTTGGAGATATTATTGAGTATTGTTAAAATAGTTATTAAATAGGAAAATAAATAGATCTTAAATAGCTATTTAATTCCTATTCTTAGAAAGTTGTGGCGAACATTGTTCCAAATAGCTATTTTTAAACTACGTTTGATTTTATTTTTTAATTTTTAGAGCCATTCTTTGAATAGTTATTAAATAACAAAATAAAAGATCTTAAATAGCTATTTAATTCCTATTCATAAAAAGTTGTGGCGAATTTTGTTCAAAATGGCTATTAAATAGCTATTTTTAAACTATGTTTATTTTTGTTTTTAGAGCTATTGTTAAAATAGCTAATAAGTATCACAGTGCTTTTTTAAGGAATTTTCACTGGGGGGGGGGGCAGGAAAAAAGGCAGAACGAAAAATATGACCCATCGAAGTGTGGTGAACGCGCGAGTCTGAACAGAGATTTTGTAAAACTTTAATTTATTAACTTCACCTATATAAACAATAACTTCAATCGCTTTGTAGCTATAATCGTACAGCTATAACCAGTGGCGTAGCCAGATCTTAATTTTTTTTTGGAGGGGGCGGTGGGGGGGCGAACCTCACGCCGAAGGCGTGAGACCGTCTTGGAGGGTCCGGGGGCATGAACCCCCGGGGAAATTTTGAAATCTAGGGTCCCTTCAAGCATTTTGGGAGTGAAATTCCGAAGAGTTCCGAAGATTATAAAGTACATCGAAGACATGAATTTTTCCAGACATTTCTACTCGGAATGAAATAAATTGGAAAAGTCACCTTGAAAAATAAGAGGAGGCGTCAGTGTAACCTTATTTCTTCTCTGTGATTCTGGGGAGGGGGGAATCCCTATGTGATTTTGATCAGAAATGTTGCATTTAAATCATTTTCGGTTCTATGAGACACCATTTCCGCATTCTCAAAATTGCGTTGCTTTTTCATACGATAAAGAATAAATATGTGAAGATACATTCGTGCTATGATGATGCATACATGTATTTAACAGTTAAAAATCTAAACTAAATCTATTCTTCTTGGAACAAGCATTTTATCGGATTGTTTGCATGAAATCTATCGCTATTATGAAATACTCGGTGAAGAACAATATGAATTACACACAAGATAGCTGTGGAGGAGGCTATGGAAGGGCATAATCTCATTATCAAGTAAATTAACTGCAATTCTGACAGCAATCATGAGCAATTCTGCTTCGCACTTCGGGGGCAGAAATGGCTTTACTGGGGGGGGGGGGCAAATGCTTTCCCTGGGGGCAGTGGGAGGCAATTGCCCCCCAGATATATAGTTAAAAAAGGCACTGAAATAGCAAAATAATTTGATCTTAAAAGCTATTTATTTCCTATTCAAATAGAAAGTTGTGAGAATTTAGAAAGGGTAAATGTATTTATTTAACTGGTCAAAATTTCCCAGTTTGAGTTAGTTAATTTAAAATTTTTCATCAGTTCATTGAAATTATATTTACAAAAATATTTATAGTCTTTGTGGACTTTGTGGAGGTAGGTATTTTGTCTCTTGACAAAACAGCATTTTTGACAAAACACCATGCATATATGAATACCACCAAAAATTCTCACGACGAGCGCGGTTTGACAGACTGGTGCCTAATTTTCTTAAAACGCGCGCAAAGCTTTCTGGGATAGCGTCACAATCACACCGCCAAATTTTAAAATATTTTTAGTTTAAACTTTCGCTCGAAATTGG